CAGGAATCCAACCAACCACCTCTTGGTTCCTGGGTCGATGCTCAACTGCTGAACCACACCAGCCGGACAAAAATCTAAGAGCATTTAGCCACTTACTGCTTAGACGACAAGAGTGATTTTCTCCTATTTCCAGAGAGAATATTGTTTGACCTAACCCTGCTCATACCATGCACTATTTACCATCTCATGTCTTGGCATGATAAAATGCAGGTTTTCAAACAACTTTTCAATTGAGAAAACCAGAAGAACTAGGTTGCCTTATTGACTAATAAACCTGAGTCCCCTCAGAAATTATCAAATGGAGTGCGTTTGCCCTGTTCAAAACAATACAGTATATGAAATATTCCTTGGATGACCAATGAACTCCTTTCCATGTCATTCATAGTTGCCCTGGAAACCAATTGGTGAGCAAAGTAGCAGACCACCCTCTCTTCCCCTTATCACTGTAAATTTATCTTTTTTAAATTTTTAAAAATTTCTTTTAATATTTTTTTTTATTGATTTCAGAGAGGAAGGGGGAGGGAGAGAGGGATAGAAACATCAATGATGAGAGAGAATCATGTATACCCCCTACTGGGGATGGAGCCTGCAACCCCAGGCATGTGCCCTTGACCAGGAATCGAACTGTGACCTCCTGGTTCATAGGTGGATGCTCAACCACTGAACCACACCAGCTGAGCAAATTTATTAATTTCTTATTTTTGTAATTTCTTTGAGACCACCGAATAGCAATTCCCAATCCTGCATAAAAACACTGGGGTGGTGGTGGTGTGAGATGAGGTAATGTGGAATGTTTCAAAATGATTTCAAGCTTGTATCCAGTTTTTCTTTTCTTAGCTCCCTGTGTTACCAATCTGTCCCACAAGATGGCTGCGCTGAAACTTAACACCCAGAAACTCTGATAAAGCCAGGTCCCTGTCTAATGGGGTAACTTGAGACTCCAGGAAATGTGAAAAGCCTGTGTCTGCCCATCCAGCAATCCTGGGTGTATGGCCTAGAGCAGTGGTCGGCAAACTGCGGCTCTCGAGCCACATGCGGCTCTTTGGCCCCTTGAGTGTGGCTCTTCCTAAGCCTTAGGAGGACCCTAATTAAGTGAAAGGGCCTGTCACGTGGCCATATTAATTCCTTTCCCGTTGTCGGACATGCAGATGGCTTCGAAACTCCCCTCTCGCGAACAGAGCTGCGAAACAGCCCTACATAGTTCCTTGTGTCCAAATGCAGTCTCCCAGTGGTTCTCAACCGTGGCTGCACATGAGAATCACCTGGGAATCTTTTTAAAATCCTGGTTTTTGGGCCTCATCCTCTGGAAATTGTTTCTTTGTTACTCATGTTGTGGCCCCACCCCATAACAAAAAAACAGAATTTCCGGAGGAGGAGGCCCAGAAATCAGGATTTTAAAAAGATTCCCAGGTGATTCTCATGTGCAGCCACGGTTGAGAACCACTGGGAGACTGCATTTGGACACAAGGAACTATGTAGGGCTGTTTCGCAGCTCTGTTCGCGAGAGGGGAGTTTCGAAGCCATCTGCATGTCCGACAACGGGAAAGGAATTAATATGGCCACGTGACAGGCCCTTATACAGCCGTTAGGATTAAAGTAAATGTGTACGTATGTAAAAACACGAATTGATATAGTTATGTAAACATATGTATGTAATATGTAATACATGTATGTAATACGTATAGTTATGTATTATACATGTCAGGTATATAAACATGTACCTGTGTGTATAAATATGCACCTATGTATATGTCAAAAACATGATGAAGAGTACAAGAACAAGGAGTTCCATGTGTACTATCTGAGTCCACACCTCAACTCAGGGAGGTACAGTGGGGCCTTGACTTCCGAGTGTCCCGACTAACGAGTTTTTTGAGATACCAGCTGTCTCTCAGCCGATTTTTTGCATTGAGTTGACAGAGTAATTTGAGTTAACGAGCTCCTTAACGAGCTCAGTCTCTGAACAACTCGTAAGTCAAGGCCCCACTGTATTGCCTCTGGAAAAAGGACAGGTTGGCCTTGGCTGGGTAGCTCAGTTGGTTAGAGCATCGTCCTAATACACCAAGGTTGTGGGTTCAATCCCCAGTCAGGGCACAAACAATCCATCAGTGAATGCATAACTAAGTGTAACAACAAATCAATGTTTCTCTCACCCATTCTCTCTAATAAAATGTATTATTGGTGTCTTTAAAAAAAAAAAAAAGACAGGGGTAGAGATCCAGGTAATGGTAAAGGAAATTTTCGCACAATCCAAAATGTTTTCTTTTTAAAACAGTGGCTGGAAACAAATCTTAGTGATTTCATAAAGGGAGAGGGAGAGAAAGACGGTGACCCTCTGGTTCATAGGTCAACGCCCAACCACTGAGCCACGCAGGCCCAGCGAGGAATATTTTTCAATCTGTCTACCACACCATGGTTTCTTATGGACCACATTCCTAGGACTGGTTAAGCTTGCTGTGCTACAGAATATAAAAGGTAAGATGAACTATCATCTATCAGAAGAACAGCTTCCTCCGTTTTCCCTCCAAGACTGCACTTTCGGTTTTCGCTTTGTTTTATGAACTGCCCACGCGCATTTAAACAGCGTTCATTCTGACACTAATAGGTGCGTTTCTATTCAGCTCACAAATCATCTCATCCCCAATGATTTTCTGGATAATAACGGACAACTGATAGAAGCTGACGATGTGAAATTGTCTGAAAGTCACCTCTACAACGCTGAAGACGGAGCAGTAAATAGAACTGCAGGCGGCTGTAATTTACCTGGTGCCAAAGGAGAGCTCCAAAATGACTTATTCGATCATTCCCCGGAAGGCCGTAAACCTGAGTGAGAACGGGAGGAATCAATAGGAAAACGCAGGAGCCCTTTACTACCTGTGGTTCCTCGTGACCTTCTGGAAGGACGAAGATTGATGTTGCAAAATGCTAAGACATGAAGATTACAAAGATGGACTGGCTAGGATTTGCAATATTCTTAGTTCCTGTTATTTTCGCTGTCACTGACCCAGGGATTAGCCCAGTGGTCGGCAAACTGCGGCTCGAGAGCCACACGCGGCTCTTTGGCCCCTTGAGTGTGGCTCTTCCACAAAATACCGACTTCTGCGCATGGGCCACGAAGTTTCCATCGCACTGTACGTGCGCGCCCGCACGTGGTATTTTGTGGAAGAGCCACACTCAAGGGGCCAAAGAGCCGCATGTGGCTCGCGAGCCGCAGTTTGCCGACCACTGGATTAGCCTTTTCTTGCTTTTTATCGTAATGTGGTATGGACTTACTCCCATGTCCCTTCATGCAGAATTTGGAAGCCAAAGAAGTTTGAGGACCTAAGTCCATGTTTGCTCACGAAGGAAACTGCACGAAGGCAGCCCTGGGTTTTCTGAAGTTCAGGTGAGATTCGAACTCAGTGCCGTGAGGAAAGGAACGTTGGCCGGCCCTGGGCAGTGAGGCCTGAAAGAACATTGGGTCAAACAGCCTTTTAAGTTCTCAAAAATGGGTTTTCACGGTGTATTTTTCTTGGGTTTTAGCCACAGCCAATACCTAGATCTCCCTTTTAACTGAGATGTAAGTCACACACCATAAAACTCACCTTAAAATTGTCTAATTCAGTGGTTTTGAGCACAGGATTCTGATACTCAAGTGACTGAAATATTATTTGCAATACACCTTCACATGCCTTAAAAGGAAAACGTGAACACGATGCACGTGCCACTCAACAGCAGGTTTGGCAGTTTAGGAAAGTAACCATTTCAAAATGGCCAAAAGGAAGGTCATGTATAATTTTTATAAGGATGGTCTAGGCATTCCAATCATATGCTAACTGGTCAATTATTTGAAAAATTATTAATACACAATCAAGAGAGAATATTTTCAACAGTTAAGGCAACCTAAGCTGCAAAGACTCCGCTTAAGAGAAGTTGATTCCGAAATGCCTTTGGGGGAAGAAAAGCATTTTTCATTATTAGAAAATTAATGAATTGTAAACTCGACATATATACTTATAGAAATGTTCCCAGAGAGTCTGTGTTCATTTCATTGGAGATATTTAGCGAGCAGATTCTTGTGAGGGAAACTTTTCCTTCCCGGGCCCTGAAGAATTACCGATTACAGTTCTGGAACAATCCCGAGCCCGCTGCAGGGGCACCGGCTGTACGCACACTGCGGAAAGCCAATGAGATGAAAGCCGGGGAACCCCGATGCTACTCCAGATCAGATACGGAAACCTGAGTTACTGAGCAACGACGCGCACTAAGATGATGTCGACTCCAATTCAGAGGTTCTGATTCTCACTGGTCAGTATATGCAGAAGTTTCTTTGATGAAACCATTTACAAATTTAAAAAAAAATTCCCTGCGGCCCGGACGGCATGGCTCAGTGGTTGAGCTTCGACCTATGAACCAGGAGGTCACAGTTCGATTCCCGGTCAGGGCACATGCCCAGGTTGTGGGCTGGATCCCCAGTGTGGGGCGTGAGGAGGCAGCTGATCCATGATTCTCTCTCCTCATGGATGTTTCTCTCTCTCTCCCTCTCCCTTCCTCTCTGAAATCAATAAAAATATAAAATGAAATAAAAAGTTCCCTGTGGCCCTTGCTGATCATGACCAGTGACCTTTGGAAATTAAGGACAATGGAGCCGAGTTACATACAAGACAAGGCAGGCGCTATACTCCAGGCTGGTATGGGACCAGCATCCTGTCCATCGAGTTAGGATTTTCTAAAACATCCTGACAGGCGAGTGACTGAAATATCAATCACTGGATATGGTGAGGCCCGTGAGACTAGGGTGAGGATCAGAAGGGGGACCTGAGAGACCGTCAGCTGGTCGGGACGGCAGGGGATGAACGGGTTGGCCCTCCGAGCAGCCCGGAGTGCAGCAACAAGACAGCTAAGAGCTGCACCGACTGCCAGTGGCCACCTTCTAGTCCCGCCGCCAAGCGACACAACATCCAAGGAGAGGGGAACAAAGGCCGTCATGAAAAAGGCACAAAGGGACACAAGACAGAAGGAGAAGTTAAGAGCCAAGAAGTGACCTGACTGTTCTTTGCACTCAAGAAAGAGGACAAGGCCAGACTGCCAACTCTCTCCTGGCTCCTTCCAACAAGACGGGCTCGGCTTTATTTAGGACCTCAAAAATAACATCTCACAGAACGGGAAGCGTCACATTACACAACGAAGTAGAGCTGTAAAATCTCAAACAAATCAGGCAAGGCTTTCTTTAGATCACCCAAAATAAGGCTCTACAGAAAAGGAACTGCAAGCAAATGTCTAGCTGCCCCTTTTCTTTGGCCTCCAATAGCAATTCCTTCTGAAATCTTCGGGGACTACTTGGCAATTTCCGAGCAAAACGAAAATTTATTATAGAGTTGCTCAGTTATCATCTAAGAATAAGAAGTTTGCAAAAACCATTTTGCTTAGTGCTAACGAAGAACTAAAAAGTGGGGTTATTGCTAATGATGCCAATTCCTACTGAAACAGCCTGACCTGCGCGCATTTCCCCGAACATCTCACTAGGGACAAGGCTGCGCTCTACGGCCGCCGCAGGTGGCGCGTGCAGCGGCTGGGGTCAGATGTTGCAGGCTGTTCAGGCATCAAGAAAGTACTACTTAAAAATAACAACTACAGGATGTAATAACTCAAAGAACTGGGCCCGCCTCTGTAGTGCCCCCCTAGGGTGGGCATCGCCTCTCCCACCGGCTCCCCAGCTCTCTCCTGGGGAGCAAGAGCGCAGAGCTCCGCAGAGAAGCTGTTCTTGCAGAGCCACGACCGCTAGTACATGGCCCTGGGGTTCTTAGTGCTGTAGTGCGCCTCACAGGCGGCGACATAGGCAGACTCTGGGAAGAAGTCGTCATGGTACTCTGCTAAAAACCTGCAAGGAGAAAAGAAGCCCGTGAGAGAAAGGCAGGCATCCCATGATCTCCCTCATCTGTGGCATCTAATGAACCAAATACACGGGTGAGCGGAGTGGATCCAGAGACATGGAACAGGGTGTGGAATCTCGGAGGAGGTGGGGAC